GGTCACTTCTCCATTACGGGAACAAGTATTTATATGAACTAAGTTTGGAAACTATAAGTCATTTTAAGCTCTCACTCTCAATGCTTTAGGCCAATGGTGATTCCAAAAACTGGGCAAATTAAATTTCAAACCTTAAAAGCTAAAAAACTATTAAGTTTTGAAACTGTAGGCTGAAATAAGCATAAAATATATTAGAACAGTTCTGGATTGAATAAAAACATGAAACTACTTGTTCAGGACCCTGGGAAAATACACTTGCATGATGGAAAAAAATGACAGCATAAAGACGTGAACATGCATATCATTGTTTAGCATTACATCTAAATTTAAATTCCAAATAAAATAGAAGCCATCTTGACATTTATCTGCAGCACCTTTCAATGACCAAGGAGCGCACATCCTTACAGGCTTCATCAGAAATCTGAAGAAATTAAAAGCCATCAGTATTAGAAATAATGATAGATATCACTCTCAACTAGAAATGAATTTTATATGAATCATTGAGACAGTGTAAATCACGCGCACATGCAAACAATCAGCATATGTTGTAGTAGTTACCATCACAAAGAAACGAAGTACATTTATAGTCCTAAGCAAACTGAACAGAAAATTAGCTGCCTTAGACAAACACTACCCCATAAAATTCATCTTTTTACATTGTGCAGTATGAAAGAAACCAATTTGCAACTCGGGAATTTTAAACACTACATACCATTCCACAAGAGCAGTTCAGTTCAGTTATGAAAATAATTAACTAGAAAGAAGAATATTATAATCAATTAAAAATCCTATTTTAAAATTTTCTTTTTAACATTACATTGGTTCAGGTATATCCCAATCCCAAATTAATTAAAATTTGATCACCCAAAGAGAAGGCAATAGAAATGTAAAAAGGAACCAGCCATCAAAAACATTGACAGACAAGAAACTCAATCAAGTTTTTGTGCAAAAAGATACATACATGTAGTCCATCTGTTCGAGTGTATGTGATCAAACCCATTGCTTTACCATCAGATAACTGAACCCCCTCGTAAAGTTTCTGTGCAAGCTGCAAATATAATGTATCTTCCATTAGACAGACAAATATAATGTATCTTCCATTACCCAGACAAGTATTTGTGTGTGTGTGTATACGATGCATATCCTTAAAGCAAATAAAAAAGTATACATACGGTTTTCAATTCAAAGGATGAAATCATAAGATTAACTGAATCAAAGAAAAAACTAGTGGCTAGAACAGAAGAGGAATGGTGAAATAAAAAATTTACAACTCTTTCTGGTAATTACAAATGTTGGTTCATTTCAGAACATCATATGCTTTGCACTTCAAATTAGAAAAATAGAATCATAGCAGTAAGGTCACCATTAGGCTGGTTTTGTTTTGTAAAGCCATCTTTCTTCTTCATAAGAAGATAATACAACTATACGATAACAGTACAGAACATAAACAGCAATGTTTGAAGTGATACAACATTCCATATGCACAGAACTGATATGAAATGTTTGAAATGATATCAATAATGTCTAGTGTGATAACACTAGCATGTGTATCCTGATAGTGATACAAGATTTCATATGAACTGGATAACAGCCACTATAAATCTGGACAGGAAAGTTGATCAACAATTGTGAAAAAAAAAATATCCTTCAGAGCAGAAGAAACAACCCCAAAGCTAATAAAAACATTATACTATGAAGCAATGATAATGAATAAAATATAGGGATAATTGTCTAAAGCTCTTTAGATGGAGGAAATCAGAAGATAAATGCTCTCACGAGCGCACCTTCATTGTATATGCTGCACTGAAATGCAATTTGTTGGCAGCATCCTGCTGAAGTGTGGATGTTATATACGGCGTGGGAGGATTCTTCCGCATTTTGTTTTTCTTAGAATTAACAACTTGAAAATTTTCTGAATTAATCTGCTGTTCAATTTCTTTTGCTTCGGTATGAGAACTGATAGAAAATTGATTTAGCTTTTTGGAATCATACTGGGCCAAGTGTGCTGGGAAGGATGGAGCATTAACTGATGAAACATTTTCTTTTTTCTTCAATTCAATCGCAGCAGTCCAATATTCCTGTGGTCTAAATTCATCAATTTCCATTTCTCTATCGCACAGAAGAGCCAGTGCAGCAGATTGGACTCGCCCCGCAGATTGGCAACCTGGTAGTTTCCTCCATAACAGTGGTGAAATGTTAAATCCAATCAAATAATCAAGTGCACGCCGTGCAAGGTAAGCATGGACCAAGTTCTCATCAATTTCTCTTGGAGCTTGCAGCGCGCTTTTGATAGAGGCCTCAGTGATTTCATGAAAAACAACCCTGGCTACGGTAATATCTTCACGTAAAGCATCCTGTTGTTGCAGCATCTCAATAATATGCCAAGCAATAGCCTCTCCTTCACGATCAGGATCTGATGCAAGAATAAGAGTTTCTGCTCTGATGAACAAGGTGAGAGAAATAATAAATTCAGAAACATCGCCCCAAAATGAAATTAAGAGAGAAATACTTACGATGGAAAGTTCAATATCATTCCCATACATTAGCAGCTAGTATTGTTAGTAGCTTGTGGCTAATTGGATGTGAATGAAAATGATAAGAAATCATACCCTGTTAGCGCAACCTTTATGCTATTTAGAGGAGTCCAGGCGGCAGATGGAACTTCCCACACCATACTAAAATCATCATCAGGCCGTACAGATCCGGACCTAGCAGCCAAGTCCCTTACATGACCATAGCTAGGAAGAACTTCAAACATATCACCAAGATAACCCTGAATAACCTTTGCCTTTGTAGCAGACTCCACCACCACCACAGTTTTCCCAGTTGCAGGGTACAGCTGCTTCAGTGTCATTTTCCCATGAGGTTTCACTCCGCCTATTTTTTGTGGTATAAGTTTCTGTGGCGACTTGGTATCTGAATTTATTAATTTTCCCCTTCTAAAAGAGTTCCCACTTTTCTTCTTTGGCTGGGGTTTTGTTGAAGAACCATCAGCAATTTCCAAGGGAGTTTTCGCAGCTAGGTTCAACTGAAAGTCTGCAGTGTTAGTTAAAATAGTAAACATAAGATTCAATCCTAATTCTACTAAAAAATTTATAGTTGCTATTTGCTAACCTCTGAAACCTCCACTGACTTTTCGCCACTTTTGGCACCAGCAGATTTCTTTGGTTGAGAAGTAACCTTAGAACTTTGTGACATAGCAGCTTCTGCTGGAGGATTTGCAGCAGAAATTTGTTCTGTAGTTTTCTTGCTCTTCGACCTCTTTTTCCCTTTGACTTTAGAGACCTGGGTATCATTTCTTATAGGAGAATTGGAAAACAAAGATCCCAACTTTCCTGCCCCCTTCTCACTTCCAACTTTCTGTTCGGTTAAGGCTTTTACTTCAACATCTTTAGAGATACTAGAATCAGTAACTTTGGTTTTGCTTTGAGCTGCTAATGCCTTTTCCCATTTCTTGCATTTAATAAGCCTTCTGAAAAAAAACATATTTCCACTATTCCTGCCATCTTGGACACCCACAGTCTCTCCTTTGTTTATCACAGATGGAACTTGAGAGAAAAATCTCTTGGGAAAAGCTCCAGCACCATGATTAGATAAACCTAATCTGCAACTATTCTTAAAAGAGCCACAACTGAAAATACCAGCAAGCCGTAAAGAATTAAGCGAACCATGTTTTAAATGAGAATGAAAGGTAAAAGCGCATTCAGACCCATCGCCACTTCTTCTGAAAGGATGAAAATTTGGCCCAACCTTCGAAGGGTTGGCCGTGATCATGCAAGAAACTCCGGGCTTTTTTAATCTATGCCGAGAATAATTTCTGTATACATTCGTTGTCAAATTTGACGAAGATGGTAAGCAAGCGCATGGATAAGCCTCAAACGCCCTCCACTGCAGCTGTAACACCAAAATGTTGCACGTCACTATAAGATTTTCTGGGAGTTGACACCAAAAAAAACACACACACACACACACACAGAAAACAAAAAATCCGAATATCCCGTGTTGCATTAGTTAGCACAACCAAGACAATTTAATCAAACCCAACAAGAATCTACGCATAATCTTCGAATTCGTCGATAAAATGTCCCATTCCAAGTGAAAAAGCTTCAAACTTCAATCTCCAATAACCAAAACATCCCCCAATTTTACCGTAAATAAACAACCCACAAAGATAACCAACTAATATAATTACAATCACTTGAAAAAATTGGCCTTCTGGGAAATGCATGAAATTAAAGAAACCCCAGAAGATGGAAATAACAGAGTATCAAAAATGAAAGGGGAAAGTGGGAACCTTGGCCATGGAGCGGCGGAGACACAGGGCGGAGGCAGCGAAGGTGTTTGAGAAAATGAAGGAGGAAGCGGTGGACAGCCGTTTAGAATGTATCATCGCCATGCCAGTTTCATTTGCTTAACGCAAACAAATATAAGAGTGAGCTGAGTTTCGAATGTTTTGTTATATAGTCAGAGAGAGAGAGAGAGAGAGAGAGAGAGCGGTTACGAAACAAAGGGTTTTGATCGAAGGGTTTTAGGGCAGGTTTTCGGATTCGGGTATGTAGTCCGGGTACCGGCTTCAAATTCTGTTCCAATATTTATGGGCCATTTGTGGCAGAATTTGTTACTTGCTACAAACCTGCAGCGGATAGGGGGTGCCCCGTAGGTATGCAGCGGGACTCATCTTTCTCGTGCGATTAATTAATTTAATGTCATGTTTAGTTATAAGTTACACTAAAAGTTGTTATTTGACATTTATTAGTTCAAATTCTCATCTTAAACAATGATTTGAAGAGAAAAATTTTAATCATTAAAACAATTCACTTACGTTCGAATACTAAACTTGAATATTATCTCACTCACCGTTAAGTCACATAAAACTATATCATTGTATTGGCATCTCAACCCTCCAACATAACCTTAAATGTTGAACCATAACCATATATGTTCAATTGAACCAAGCCTTGGATCTCAAACATGGACCTGTATGAGCAATTTTAATCCCTCCTCAACATTCTTTGTGAAACATCTTGGAAGTTAAAATGGAAGTTTCTTATTCGATATAGAAATGTTTTTGACAAGAGTAGTTAGAAGAAGCCCTAAAGCAGGTAGATTTGAAGTTTTTCCCCAACACCCCCAAATCAAATTGGCGAAAACGAAATCAAATCAAATTAGAAGAAGGAGAGGGACAATCCAATTAGGCAGCTTCATGTGATATACCTTACAAATGATATTTTGTTTGAAAGGTAATTCCAATGGTGCATTATTCATTCATGGTAATTGCAGAATTCTTGTTTGCAGATCAACAGATCATCTATAATTTTGTCATAATTTTTTTTTGAAAGCTCCATCTTTTACACCTGAAAGACTCTATCTTTGACACAGATGCTTGATGATAGTGCAAATAATTCTTTGACAGTTCTTTCTTTGCCCTTGAATTTACAGCTCGCATCGACGGACTGGTGAAGGCCTTGATAATGAAGCACTTGCACTCAAACCTATCTTAGGTTCGATGCTTGGCAGGATTTATCACAACCCCCAAATCACAGAGGATTGCAGCAAATTTTACAGTTGTGGGCTTCTAAGAACATTTATGATCAGGATACTTTTGATGCACTAAGGAATGAGATGCTTGGTGGACCATCAAGTAATTCTTTTACAGGGCTTCCAAAAGACTTATCCACTGCTTCAGCAGATTCAGCAGCAGGTAGGCAGTAGGCTTCTGTGTTGTGTGTATGTCTAGGGCCTAGGCTACTAAATTTTAGTAGCCTATACGTTAATTATCTTTTTCTTTATCTTGAATGCAGGATTGCCACCACAAACAACAAATCATAACGTATTTCCATGGCAGCCGGATACACAAAGCTCTGTTTCCAGTTCCCACGATCAAGATCACCTTGATAAACATGCAGTTCCTGGCCAAGGCATGCCACTGTCTCTGCCATCCCATCAATTTCTTCTAAATTCAGTCCCTTCTGTTGCTTTTCCCGGGTCCATGCCTATACCATCTTCCGTTCAACCAGCAAACCAACAACCCACACCCCATTTACTGTTAGGTCAACCCGCTAGTAGCGGTGAGAAGTTGCCGCTATATCCGTTGTTCCCACCTGGTCTTATTCCTCAGATGGTCAGAAAGATGCAGATTGCAGTGGTGTACCATACTCGCCGATGAGCCCTTTGGATATTCCAACCGTTATACCTCCATCCACTGTTCCTCAGTCAGAAATTCTTGAGAGAGTGTCGAAATTCTTCAAGGAGATTGGAGAAGTTAACCCTTCTGAAGGGCCCTTTCATGATTCCGATGGTAGGGATGAGGATGATTATGAAAGAGAGCCTGCAGAGCACAAGGGTGGAGCTTGCATTCCTCCACCCCCAAACCTGCAGATGGACCCCGAGACAAGGGCTTATGCTGATGGAAGTGTAGATAGAAAGAGTGGCTCGGGAAGGTTTGGATAAGGGGCCACAACTAATCCAAATGAGTGCAAGAGCTTCAGCAAGGTGTAAAACAGATCTGCTGGGAGTTGGAAAAGGGCAGCTTCTTCTTCCTTTTTCCATTTTTCGAGTTTTTCTTTTCTTTTCGATGATGTATTCTGGGTGTCAGCATGAACTTTTGGTTAATGTTAACACATGTAAGAAATAGTACCGCAAGCATTTTACCTAACAGATAAATTAAGAGTCTTTTAATTCATGGAAAGTTTCCCTTCATCTATCTATTGGACATTTTGTACTTGGATTGGATCCTACGGGACAATTCCAGCTTCTCCGCTCTCTTCGACGAGAGAGGATTCTCGCTGAATCCTTTTAGTGAGGACCAGAGATCTTCCAATCACATCATTTTATCGTGCATCGTACGGTTATTTTTTATTAGATACTGTTTATATTTAATTTTAAATAAAAAAATTTACAATAATTTCTGATCGTACGATATATGATAAACAGATGTGATTTAAGTATCTCTGAAATCCCCACAAAAAAAATATCCAGTGAGGATCTCACTGCCCCAAAACCCATGCCAGGCGGCAGTCCCCTCAGCATTTATGCATCTTTTACTATGTAATATTTTATTTATCTATCCATTAAAATCATTTTATTTATCAAAACAATCCATTATTTACTATGTAAAAAGATACATAACCGTAAGATGATAAATTTTCAATCATGTAATGAGAAAAATAAACATGAAACGCTAAACTATAAGTTTCAAAATAGATTTCTCTAATAAAATGTGGGAATGCTGAGTACAAGTGATATTTTAACACTAGCTGACAATTCACACATTAATTTTTATGTTTTATACACTTTCGTTAACTTTTTAATATTAATTTTTTTTAATTTATTAAATTTAACGGTTAAAAATAAAATTAAAAAAATATGTGAAAAGTACAAATAAGGGTACTACTGTCAGAGAAGTATTCTATCCCAACAAATGATGTTAAAATGATTTTTATCGAATTCGCAACCGACAATACACAAAGGTAAAATTTCGAAAGGCAGAGCCTCTCAACGCTCCAATCTTTTCCCCCCAATCACGTTTTGGCGTTGGCTTTCGCCCAATCCATGGCAAGTTGGAGGTTAGACTCACATTTCCCATTTCTCACTTTCCCAATTTTCACATTCCCTTTGCTTCCTTTCCGTTACTCTCTCTCCTTCCCCTCCATTTTTTTTACTCTCTCTCCCTCTCTACACACTCTCCTCACTCCACTTCCTGGACTTCCTTTCTCTCTCCTTGATCCAAAAACCTAACTCAAATCCAGGTTTCATTCGATCCAATTTGCTCTCGAATTGGATCGGTTCCGTGTTCTTCTAACCTGGGTCCAATCCAATCCCATCCCCTTTTTTATTTTTTTCAATTTTCCAGATTTGGGTTTTTTTTATTCGATTTGCAGGTTTTTGGCCAAACAAGAAAAAAAACGCAGGTTTTTTTTTTCCCATCAGATTTGTCATGTAATTTTGGGACTTAGCTGCCACTGAGCTCATTTGACACTGACCCGAAAACAGAGGATTTGTGTTTTGAAGCTTTGATTAGGCCATGGAGAAACGCATCGAGACAGAAGCTAGCTCGTTTTTGAGGTTGTCTTTCTATCTGTCCTACTTTGTTTTCTTTTGGGTTTATGTTAATTTTTAGAAAGATTTTAGCTTGATGATTACAAATGTAAGCAAAGGACATGTTTTATATGTTAATGTGTATACATGTTGCGAATTTTCTATGCGTTGAATCGAAACATTGTCGATTGATTTCCTCAAGTCTTGTTGTGTTTGAAATTTGAATGCAGTTTGTCCGCGGCCTTGTCGTATGGGGCTGCTTCCATGGCGATGGTTTTTATCAATAAAGCAGTTATTATGGAGTACTCACATTCGATGACCCTTCTCACAATGCAGGTTTTACTTTAACAATTCGAATATCGGTCTTCTAATTCCATGAGCATGAGATGTCCTTCCTTGATTGTTCACAAGGACCTGTCTTTCGATTCTTCGTTGTCTTAGTAATTTGCTAGTGTTTTATGCTTGGTTTTGCATAATGAGCCTTCCTTCGTTTCTTTATTGTCTTAGCAATTGGCAACTGCTTTGCTTATATATGTTGGTCGAAGATTGGGATACACGAGATCAAGAGGATTAGAAATGTCCACTGCGAAAAAGCTTCTCCCTGTGTCGCTTTTCTATAATGCTAATGTGGCGTTTGCGTTGGCCAGTTTGAAGGGAGTTAATATTCCCATGTATATTGCAATCAAAAGACTCACACCGCTTGCTGTGCTTGTAGCTGGATTCTTCTCAGGGAAGGAGAGACCCTCAATACAGGTTATTACAGTTAACGATAGGATTAGTTATTCTTCTTTTTTCTTTAGTATTAGTGTAAGTAAAAACGAAACTTGTTCTGTAACAAGAGCAAAATACTTTTAGTCTTCAAAACATATGATGTAAAAATTCGGAAGAAGCCTACACGATTTGACTAACACTGTAAGCGTAAAATGGAAGCTGGATTTACATTATTCTTTGCTACGCTTTCTCTTGGTTTGGGCTTAGCGGTCTGCAATTCATAAGCTAAGATATTTTGGACGATTCAAATTATAACGGACATGTCATTTTGTCGGTGCTTGAAATGTCTTCATGATGACAGCTTTGACCTGCTTGTTCGTAAATAAGATAATTAATCGATATTTGGTATCCATATTAGGAACAATATATCTTGAGACATAACGATAGCTTCCTTATTAAGTGAAGATAAGGGACGCTTGATTATAAATAATCAGGGGTCGTAGTTTTTGTTAAAAATGCAAAGTTATTCAGAGAAGATGAGAAATATAGTGTGAAAGTCCTGACAAAAAGCATTTTCATTACCACTAAATTTGGTGATACCGAGTCCTATTTAGTTGTTCTTTTCCTCTCTTTCATGTTTTAGGTTTAACAGTACTCAGTTCTTTCATGTTTCAGGTGTGTCTTTCAGTAATACTGACTGCAGTAGGGGTTCTGATAGCTGCACTCGGAGATTTTTCGTTTGACCTTTTTGGATATAGCATGGCCCTCACTTCCGTCTTTTTCCAGGTAAGGTGATGATGTTTTTGTTCATCCACGGTTCTGTGTTATACTTGTTTCAAATGGTATGTTATGGTAATTAAGCTCATACAAGCACTTCATTTTTTATTCAGACCATGTACCTTGTGTTGGTGGAGAAATCTGGTGCTGAAGATGGGCTATCATCAATTGAGATCATGTACTATAACAGCTTTCTATCTCTTCCGTTTTTGATGCTTCTCATAGTAGCTACTGGAGAATTTCCAAATTCGTTATCATTACTAGTTGCAAAGGTCAGAACTTAACCTTTTCTTTGTTTATATATTCTAATTCATTCCTCTTTATTTATTTGGGACTCTTTGTAGATCATTGACTGCTTAAATTGATCGACAAATGAATTACTGTCTTTGACATCTACTACAAGACATTTCTTATCCAAATTATCGATAAAAGAAGACTTGATAACTAGTAAATAGCATAAAATCATGTCTATAATGGCTTTAAAATTATGAATTCCAGTTGGAAAAAGCAATGCGTTGCTGCCTGCCCATATAGTTTGTAAGTAACCGTGCAAAGATAAAAGAAGACTTGATAACTAGTAAATAGCATAAAATCATGTCGATAATGGCTTTCAAATTATGAATTCCAGTTGGAAAAAGCAATGCGTTGCTGCCCGCCCATATAGTTTGTAAGTAACCATGCAAAGATTTCTTCGGGGACCTGGGGCTTATTGCCGTGGCACTGAGTTGCTGTTCTTCTTTCTGAAAACGTTCATACTTTATATGACTGATATGTAATTTTCTTTATTTGCAGAGTAATTCCTTATACTTTTTGGTGATCCTCATTCTTTCATTTATTATGGGCATTGTTCTCAACTTCACCATGTTCTTATGTACGATAGTCAACTCCGCTCTAACAACCACCATCGTTGGAGTCCTAAAAGGAGTTGGGTCGACGGTATGACTGAACTTCCTCTTCTTTTTCGTAGATTAAATGACGATTGTGGAAATTAAGTTTTATTTCATCTTATTGTGATACAAATATTTGTGAAAATTTGTTTATACGGGTTTCGTTGTTTCACAGACCCTCGGTTTTGTACTACTGGGTGGCGTGCAAGTACATGTTTTGAATGTGACTGGACTGGTTATCAACACAGCCGGCGGAGTTTGGTATTCGTTTGCCAAATATCAACAGAGGAAGAGCAAGCCCGCAAAGCGGATTGCAGATGTGGAGGCTCATCGGAAATAAAATTACGAGTGCATCTCGGGTGGGGGGAAGGAGGGGGGATTCGGTTTTAATCACGAAATTGCCATTTTTTTATGTAAATTTTGGCTATGGTGTGGGTTTGCGGGTTTGGACCCGACATGGGGACGTAGTGTGGACTTGTGGGGTTTGGCCATGTCCTGTTCTTGGGGTAGAGTAATGTCTTTGCCTATCGAGGTTCGTCGTATTAGGCCTGGTACAATTTATTGCGGCCGATTTAAACGGATGTGGTTTTTCTTTAGGGTTAACGGCTTCAGTAGTTGGGCACGTTCATTTTCGTTACATAGATAGTGGGTAATATGTAAGTACGCTTAGTGGTATTGTTGTTGAAAACGAATGTTTTTTTTTAATATTGCTTTAATTTCATTTTGAAAAGAGAACAAACAAGAGTTCTTTTTCTTATTTTTTTTCTCGCATAAATATATGGTATTAAAATTTTTAGTATATCTCTTTGTTTACATGACAAATTTTTCAATCTGTCGCAACACACATGCATGAATACTTGTTGATACAAATAGATCGCATATGGTTACTAACCGTAATAGCTACTTTCTGTTTTTACTTTTTGCTTCCATTTCCATCAAACGTGGCAATTAGTTCTTCGAATGACAATTACACACGGTAGGATGTGGTGGCTATATCATGAAGGGTGATTGTTAATTTAGTCCTTGAATTATCAGCTCAGTGAAAATTAGGTTGCTAAATTATTTTTTCAAAAAAATCAATCCTTAAATTATAAAAATATGTCAATTACATCCCTAATATTATATTTGAAGCTACTATATTCAATTTTTTCGTCATTTAAGTCATGTTACTCGCATGTGATACACATTGGAGGGTAAATTGGTAATTTTCATAAAGAAACAGTGTATGGAGTACTTTAGAGGCTAAATTGGTAGTTTTTCATAAAAAAATTGTGTAAGTTCATTTTGAAGGGTAAATTAGACATTAGATTCACAACCTTGATGAAAAATTGGATAAAATAGCTTTAAATATGATAGTAGAGATAAAATTAACAATTTTTAATGAATTTAGAGACTTATTTTACTGACAAAATAATTCAAAGACCTAATTTTCACTGAGGTGGTAATTCAAGGACTAAATCGGCACTTTACTCTATCATGAATAGTAAAATGTAGATTATGACTAATCCTGCTTTTTAGAATATGAAGGATGGATGCTCTTTCTTTTTGAGAAAAAAATGGACTGATAATGTCACATCATTGTGTGTGAATGAATTGATTAGGTCCTCGTATGATCGTATCGTACGAATTTGGATGCATTTCTTGACTCTACTAAATCTTGAAATTTAGGTATTACAGAAAGCGAATACCATCGTCCATGTTTCAGGAACGATTATTATCCGTTGAGAAGAAAAGTCTTCCAGGATTCAGGATCTCTGAATGGATCTTCCGTCTCCTCCATACACATGCACTTGTTTTCCTGTTCGTTCTAATGCAAATTTCAGACTCTCAGATCAATGATTTCTTCGTTTTTCTCCCATGCTTCAATAATTGCTTGTGGCTGTGTAAAATGTTGATTGAAATTACTATTTGTTATTTTTTTGTCCTAATAATACAATCGATATCAAGGGAGCGGGTTTTCAAATTGTGAAACCTGGATGCATAAGAGAATGTACTTAACTAATTGAGTTACAATTCTCCCACACTATTGGTTTTTTATTTAATTTGACTTTATTATAGTTCGGTTTGGTTCGCGGATTAGCGGCTCGGGTATGAGTACATGATTGAGATCCTTCGTACCCGAAACTCAGCAATTACAAGTACAACATGCTCTGGATTCATCCGGAGTGTAAAATGTTTAGTTACTTTATGTAGTATGATTGATTTGAATATTTTTTTTAACAGAACTTTTGCAGGGTGAAAAAGTGGATAAAGTTCTCGTGAATAATACGATGATGGTTAAGGTAAAAAGAAATTTCAGGTCCGTATTTCACACAGTTCGTTCTGAATTTGATTTCTGACGTTAGTAAATTATACAGTGATGATAAAAAAAAATTAAAATGCATATGTAAGTTTTTTTAAGCTCCAAAAGACTACGCGATCAACAAGGGATGTGTTAATTGTATATCACACACCAAATATCTTGTACAGATTGTGTATAACTACCGTGGTGTTTTTATTTCTGTTGTATAAAGATGATAATGTAAGCAAATGATTGAATTCCAAGTAGATTGTCTGTCACACCAATAAGAAAACATAAACCGAATTGTTGACTCCCACTCAAAAACCATACCATAATTTTAACATAGATGTTATTCTACAAATATGCACGTAAATTAACATTTAAATAATAATTTAATCATCAACTTTCATGTCATTTAGTTTATAAAATTTGGTCTACACATTTAGTCTCCCTAGCATTACCCTTCTACATAAGTTGGTAATTTGTATTTACATTTAGTCTCCTGAACATTACCCCTCTACATAGGTTGGTAACTTGTATTTACATTTATGAACTAATCCCTTAATATCCATTGTTAGAGTTGTACCAACAAGACGATAATGATTTATATGAAACAGATTTATCAAAAATTGGTGCATCGGTTGAATAATATAATGTAATATGTAAGGTTCTTTTCACATGACATTACATTGTTAGACAGAAGTCTTCGAAAATGGCGAACCTCAGTGATCCTAATATCCTACTCATCTTAATTATTAATCAATGATCTCCAGAACTGTGACCTCTTTTGTAATTTTGTTCAGAAACATTTAAGTCTAATGAACTTGAAGAAAATGATTTTAATTCCTTATTACTGGATTTTGTTTGGTTTGCATCAGTTTTAAATATTGGCCCTTGGCCACCGCTCCCAGCATACCATATGCTTTCTTATGCTTTAATTTTGGTTTTTCTTGAGTAGAGAGTACTATATGTGAAAATTGGAAGGAAGACCATGTTTAGCATATCTGGAACACAAAACGGTTTTCACGTGTTATAACATAAGTAGTGAGGAAATAGTTTTTATGAATAGGTCCATATGTTATAACATCTGTAATTTGTTAATACCATGTGACAATGCAACGACATTTGAAAGATAGGTAGAGGAACAAGAATTTACAAAGGATTCACAGTGAAAGATAGGTTTCTTCAACAATTTGGACTATTGGCTGAGAGTTTTGATGTGAGCTAGTCATCTTCTGGCTCCATTGAGAAGTCTGGCTCTTCAGGTTTTAGCAACTTCGGCAGCTGAACATCCTTGGTCTTTTGAGCTCCTCTCCTAGTGTTTGCAGCAAACCTTGAAGCCAAAATTGTGACACCAAGATTCTGTCTCACTTGGAAAGTATTCGAAGTTTCATTACTACTAGAAAACTCTTCCTTTTCTTCTTCTGTATCATCAGCCTCTTCGTCGTGTTTGTCGTAATTATACGAGAATGACTCTGCCATGCTAAGGTTCTTCGCCAACGTTCTCTTCTTGAACCGCCGCCACGCTACCTGAATGAAGCATGCAGCCCAGGTCCTCCAATGGTAGGAGTAGAAACGAAATGTGTGTTGTAACTTCTTGCTGTGGAGGCGCCTAAACTGATTCGAGACGAATTTGAGGTCTTCTGCTCTCAGCGCAAAGGCTTCTACTTCGTCGAAGGATTTAACAGTTCTTGTGGAAGAAGGCAAGTTGAGGGTTGATTTGGGAAGCAATGCCCAAGCAAGCAACTCTTCTCCACAAAAATCGCCGGGCCTCAAAGTGATTGAGTTGAAGAAACCTGTCCTGCCTCCATTTGTTGTGGAGCTCTCTAGTTTCCCTCGGATAATGAAAAGCATCTCTGTGACAGGGTCGCCTTCACGAACAATGTACGTGCCCTGAGTACTTAAGGATGATACCAAACGCTCGCACATGGCGTCAAGCAGTTGATCGTCCATCTGTGCAAAAAATGGGACCTGAAGATAGACACAATTGAAGCGAAAAGCGTTACTCATTAGTATTTGCTTTACTATGATCAATCAGTATCAACATTCCTGTCACATGATCAGAGAAGGCACTTACGCGTCGAACAAGATCTAAACACAAGTGGCGTCGGATATCTCGACGAAGATCAGTAGGCAAGGCATGTAAGATGGATTCTTCATCAACCCCTCGAGTAGCAACCCACTTGTACTGCACGAATCGCCTTACGCGCTCTTGCAGACCTTGGGGGAGTTGACGGTGTCTCATCCACTCCTCTGTGTCTCGCCGCTTAAGCCTCCACTCCTCAAGTCTCAACGTGATCGATTGCAAATAGGTCTGCATTATATCGAAAACATATCTTTCACAAAACTAAAAAAATCACTTAACTGTTTTAAACTGCAGAAAAGTAAACAGATTTCATCATCCGCACCTGCATATTTCCGATTAAGTGAGCAAACAGAACCAAACCCAAGATTGCAATTAGTATTGCAAACGACGTTTCCCCAATAAATGTGCTTGTACTCAAATTCTGACCATAGGAGCTGAGATATATTAAAACAGATTATATTAGAATCTGCAAATGTTGATCAAATTTCAGATTATATCAGAACCATGTACTGATGATCATACCTCAAGTTCTGTAAACCCCACCAAAGACAGTAGAAGTACTTCTCAAGAAACCCCGTGGAGACGACATTTTTCGTCAATGCTTTTGCAAATATGCCATAGTTGAAATTGGTGCTGGTTTCCGGATTGCAGTTACTAAACACTTGAGTACTGTTCAACCACGTCCGGCGGTTATCATTGTTCAAATTACCACAATCCAAGTAGCTGAGAAAACACTTCATGGGGCTGAATTCATTTTGGCATTCAGACCTCCAGCACGTTGCATACCGTTCGATGGACAACAAGTACCACGATGCCCCTAAGATCTACAACGACAAACATTGTTCTAGCATTCGTTACTGCGAGTTCTGAAGGGCAATTTGAATTAAACTGGTAAATTGCATGTAAACAAAAGAAGCTGCATTACATACATGACTAGCTAACATGTAGAGTGCGAGATTATACGCAGCCCCCGCCCAGGCGGTCTTTGTGACCACACCATTGGCTTTGATGATCTGAGAGCTTAATGGGAAAATAAGATAGAGTCTAGGAACATACTGAAGAAGTACAATCAGTACAAGGGCATTATTGGTAGCATGTGAGCTTCTAACTGCAGGTATAATAAACCATATCACAATCTGCAAAAAAAGAATATAAGAAATAGCATTGTTATTTCCAGAACTGTTGCAGGAACTAATAAAATCGAAGAAATCGGATTAAAAACAGAGAAAAAAGTTTGCGATAAACAAATCATGATGCGCGTTGTTGTCTAAAATTACCATACAGAACGAAAAATCTTGAGGAGATCATAGAGAGTTGAAAAAAGAAGTAGCATATATCAATGTAAAGATATAATTACGGTGATGATTATTGCACCTGAGGGAGAGGCAGTGTAGCTATGAGATCTATGAAGAAATCCGTTCTCAAATACCTTCGAGCAATCTTCTTTGGATCCGTAACAAGCTCACCCCTCCCGAAAACTCTTGAACTCGGGGATACATAAGCTGTCCTTAACTTAATGAACATGTGTAACAGATAGAACATATCCGCGAGAGTGCGAAAAAACGTCACAACAATTCCTAAATTCAAATCAGTTGTCATACAAGATGAACTACCGTCATTTTGCACCGAAGGGAGGTAGAAAAAAAGCGGATCAACGAACAATGCTACCAAGCAAGAAAAGAGAAAAACCCTGTTCCATTGCAGGAAAATGTCACTTCCCGGATCAAGAATTTGCTTCTTACGTGGCTCCTGGTTCTCTGAGAAAACCTTAAAACTCCCAAATCTCGGAGTTTTATTAGTTCGAACTCCGGTAGTAGTACTAGTACCACCATCAGGAATTAACAAGGGTGCTGCTGCTGATATTTTGTATGCAGATAGTGGCTCTTCTGGTTTTTGGATGTCACTTTTTTCCCGGGAAAACTGAACATCTTTCTTATCATGATCATAAAACCTGCAATTATGAAATTAAACACAATAATTAAGAAAAATTAAAAATAATAATGGAGAGTAAATTGTGAAATATGAAATTGATATTGTAAAATGGAGACATTACCTTAATACCTTGTCTTTCTTCAACTCCATGCTTGTAAGTTTGATAACATCAATATGCATCACATGCAACTAAAGGATCCAAAACGTGAAATGAAGAACAAGAGAGAAAAGTAAAAGTTTAACGACAGCATAGTTTATGGGAAACATTTCCAAAATCCAAACAAATATATGTGTATAAATATATATTAAACGAGCGTTATTCTTCACTAATTCTATCTAAATTACAAAGAAGAGATTGGAACTTAGGTCAAGAGAGAAATGCATTGCACTAGTCAACATGGCCAAGCGTCTGCAAATCTAAATGAATATAAAAGTGAAAAGTTGAGAGAGAGAGAGAGAGAGAGAGGTATGAAGCTTGGTCCACGGCTGAAACTTTGGGACGAAAAGATGTGCAGAATCTGGGGGAGGGAGAGAACATGAAGGACATGAATGTTTCGATTAAAGAAGTGGAGTGTTGCGATTAAAGACGAGAGAAATATATATTAAATTCTACGTTAGTAGATAGAAACTGCTAGCCATGATTTTTCTTCACACATTTTGGTTGACTTTTTCTTTCACCAATTGAAATTGGTTGAGGAGGGAAGTGCACGATCCAATTGTGTCAAATTATTGATTAAATACTAATAAGGTCTTTTGATAATTTAACCAGATCTGAAATGCAATCCCAGCTTCACTCGAATCAAGAAATTATGAGGGTAAAGTTGATGTCAACTACAGAACTTTATATAATTTCCAAGTTAAAAGTTTAAGGGTTCTTGAAAGTGATTTTTCACATCGTCATAGCAGTACATTATACTTTAATTGAACACTGCCGGTTTAAACATTACCAGTACCACTTAAGTATCAACGTAGCCCCGCTTTTTACAAAGCGTTTCCACTAAGAGCAAACGCATGGCCAAAAAAGAAGACTAGAAGCATTGATGGAGTTAGATTGTGACTGAAAAAGATGTTGGTGGAGTTGTCACAATTAAAAACGTCTTGTCTAGTCGTTTACTATGTTCAACAATGAAGGTGTAATTGGTGCTCCAAAATGGCTATCGTACTTTTACGCATTGAAATCATATTGAAATTTGATTGAATAAGATCATCTTCAAAGAAGATGTCAAATCATAGGTGGAATTCTATGTAATCAAATTTGAAGGTAGGAGTGAGTTGCAATCGATATGTCAATCTTATGTGAATTGGCATATGAGTTTTCATATGTCAAATTTGAGATATAAAAAAAGGTGATGTCAATTTTTTTTAATTATTTTATTATATAGATCCTATTAATGCACAAATTATAGATATTGAAAAATGTATTTTAATTGATTTCTTTTTAAAATGGGTCTTACAAATATCATTTATAACAAATAAACATATTGGTTGGAAAAAGAGAAAATCTGGCATTGCCACATCAGCTATCAAATTAACATTTGACATTTATCTTTTAACATTTCATTTGGAGATGCTCGAAAGACAGGTGAACGGATGGCATTGTTGAAAGGCTAGACAGTAGACCAATAATGTGACACGTGTGTGCAATAACAATGCAGCATTGTGATGCTTCTTATGTTGGTGGCATGAACAACCCCATCTCCATAAAAATCATTAATTAATTCACCTTACAACTCTATTCGAAAGGTCATTATCTGTTTGGAGAGTGTCCGCCCATCAAAATATAAAAAGATTTTACATTTTGAAATTTAAATTATTATTTTTAATTAGAAGAAAATCAAACTTAAAATTTTGAGTGCGCAAATAAATGTTCTAAATTATTTGAGTTACAAGTTTCTTGTCATGCAAGTGGTCTTTTACTATAGTGGTGAAAATGTGTTATGCTCTTATATGACAGCGTAAATTTGAACTTCGTCAGTAGCTAATCTAACATCTAACTTACTAATGATGTTGCTCAACTCACAAAAAAAAAAAAAAAAAAAAAAAAAATGAATAGAAAAGGTTTCTTGTCATCCCCAAGTTTATATTAGATTTTGAATGTGACTACCATCTTGCATTAGGAGGAATTTTTCTTTGCGAGAAAACAAAAACTCGAACACGCCATCACTTTTTGGACTCGTACATAAAAATATGGTGTCGTTTGGATTGGATTATATTGGAGATTCAAGGTCTATTTAACATACAGATAAACGATTTTTCGTTTTACGGATTCGAGATGAAAAAAGCCTTATCCTTTCGTATATTGTAAATTGTGTTAAGTGAAACACAATTTGCTTTTGTTTTACATTAAATTGAATATAGTGAGGCGTACATTCCAACCAAATACTAAACACCAAACAAACACAGCTGCAGGCTTTGCATTGGAGACCATAATCGAATATATTATCGCGCGCTTTCACCAACCGGTTATATTTAAAGAAAGATAATGAAAATGATTTGAAAATTTTGAATTTAACAATAAGGACAAAATAAAAGATAAAGTGTATAGCACCAGTATTAACTTTTTAGTGTAAAAATATGATTTTTCGTTAAAGTAAACAATACCAGAAGTTTTTCGTTAAAATTCCCTTATATTTATCGCACTCTTTTACCAACTGAACTGCAAACCTTTTAAGACACAATAAACCACATCCTTTTTTCTTTTTTGTAAAATCAAATTTATTAGAAAAAAAAAATTTCTATTAAAATTAATCTCAAACTGCGGGCAATTCAACGGTGAAAATTTTACAGGATTGGCCTGAAGATTTATAATTGCAATGGTGCGTCACGCATAGGGAGATTACCAAATATTTCAACACCCTTAATCTTTTTAAACTGGAAAAACTAGAATATATCTATTCTATTCTATTAAGAGAAGAGTCCTTGTCAACCTTTTTTCCCCTTTTTTTCAATTTTACCCTTACTTTTCAATACACAATATTTACATGAGGACAAAATAATAATTTTGTACCTTTTGATAAAATTGCAATCATATTCCTATTATACCCTCTCTTTTTTTTTAAATAAAATGACAATCATATTCTTATTTTTTTTATTTTGTCCTCAATTTTGATGTACAATATTTACATAGGAATGACAAAAAATAATAATTATGTAATATTAAGATAAAATATGCATTTCTTAAAAGAAATTGTCCCACCATCATTTTTTCATACTTTTTTTTTAAATTTTAAAAACTAATCACACTTCTTAATAAAAAAACACAAACAATAAAATGAAATTGTTCATACACACACAAAGTGTGATCATCGGCTAGTTAGCTATAAAATCATCCGCCACGAAAACAAGAGGTTAGGATTTCGGTGTGGTCGAGATTTCACTTGGAACCAAATTTGTTTCTGTACTTTTGTATCCAATTGAAGTTCAAAGGCAAGAATATGGGTGTTGGGTCTAAGAAACGATAGTCACTACCAAATCTCTAAAAAGTGGCGTCACGTATGCATACGCAACGACTCAATTATATATAAAGTTCAAGAAGAAGCAAAATCCAAACAACTCTTTCGTTTATGAACAACCCAACTTCTGTAGAACAGATGTGAGTACCTGCATAAACATTCGACGCGTAACCCACTTGCTCAATCCTTTTAAGTAAGAGTTAAACAAATGCCACTATAGTAGTTTGAGGGAGGCGCATTGCTACCGACGAAGTTCAAGGAAAATAGAAGCTCTGCAGATAGCAGGCTGGGATCCACAACTATTCAAAAATTGAAGATCCCAGTAGCAGGGCAGTGAAGAAATCCCCGGGAGAGTGCAGAAACACAAAATTGAAGCTCTAGCCGGCTGGGACCGACAACCATTCAAAATTGAAGATCCCAGAGCAGGGCAGTAGTGAAGCACAACAATCCCAGGGGCCAAGGGAGTGCAGAAGAACAAAACCAATGAAGCAGAAGAAGCAGACGACACCTCAACACAAAAAGCAAAGAAAAAAGCATCGAGTTTTAGCAGCATTCTCAGAAACACTCTTAAACAAAGTTATAATGTTTACGACTTTACCTTTAAGATCCTTATCCCTACGCCTATTTTGCAAAGATAAATAAAACCAGCTAGAGTTAAGAAAGGAAGGAACTTAACCAAATCAGAGAGACAGTAGAGGCTGAGGGCGTCCCCCAATTTAAACATAGTTGTGCTGATGTCCAAGCAAACTAAACAACACTTAATCCCAGTATATCTTCTAAAACAACGCCAGGTAGCCATGTATGGACTCCTTAACTCCTGCTTCGGCGGCGATCCTTCAGACCATTGCTGCAAATATTCAGCACCCAGATGTCAGAGGACAAAGCAGCAATGCCAACCTTACTACTGGCATGCTCTACCATCCAAGTCTTGGAACAGTAACTAATGTAAGCATGCATAGGACATATACCATCATGGCATGAATCAAATGGAAAGTCATCCTTCCAACACAACCAGTTTCATGCTGTAGAACTAGGGTTTAACAATTTTGCAAAAACACAGTTAAGGAACCTCACCCATTGGCATAAGGCAACTCCTCCCGCCCACGGTACGGTGGGGACCTGCTGCGGCTGTTCCCACGTGGTGTCAAACTGCGACGTCTTGGGGATCTCCCTCGTGGACTGTAGCTCCTGTTTAACAGTAGAGAGATGTCAAAAGGTATTATATAAGAGAAATCATCTCCAACCTAGATTAACAGCTAGTATAAGATATGTTTGTGAACTTGCATCCAGAAAGCCAGCTTTCAATACCAAATACACCAGAACACAAAACTTGTTTGATAACTACCCACCTAACTACCGAGAGAAAAATAAAATGAATTTTTAAGTAAGGAATATCTGGCAAAATGACTTCACCTGCGACCATAACTAGGACTTCTGCGATAGCGAGGAGGGGTGCGGCTACGACGCCTTCCACCACCACCACCACCACCACCACGTAGACGGCATTCACGAGCAAAATGCCCAGGCTCACCACACTCATAGCACTTCAAATCAGAACCGCCAGAGCGGCCACGACCACCTCCACCACGACCACCACCACCACCTCTAGAGTTGTGTGAAAGCTCAACTCTCCAGTTATTCTTACCTGCTCCAGAAAAAATCTATACATTTTACATCTCGCAAAAGTTAAAACACCGGAAAACAAAGAGAGAAAAATAGCATATAAACTACCCAACGAAAAGGCTGCTCTAAATGAGTTAAAATAAAACCATCTTACGAATCACAAACAAGCTGAAAATATAATTTCAAGGAAGGCATGAGACCGTCTCTTTCCATTAGGAAGGGACAGCTTGCCAACATATTTTTCACTATTTACTAGTTCAACAAATTCAGAACCAAAGACCTACCAATGAATACATAAGTAAAAGGATTAACAGAAAAAATAAAGAGAAAAAAACGGTGCATCATAAAAAGCAAGACCACAAGTCACACTTCTAGATGAGGAAAACATAATGCTCACAACTCAAGCAACGGTGTCAATATTGTTCTACTAAATTACACAATTATATGATGAGCATTAGTTTGATGGAGAAATCTCACATTGCAAAAACTTCGGAAATTCAAACTAAGGTGACCCACGTTATATAAATAAAAAACCTTGACCTAGTTGAACACGCATAATTCATGAAAAACCAAATGTTCCTTAAGGAAGATTTTAACATGCATCTCGAAAGAGAAACCCATCATTCATTGTTGAGCTCAATTATGCTTCTTCACAAACACAAAGTTGTTCATGAACTTATGCTTCTCCCTTACGGCGGATTCAAATGATATAAACTAGCTACGAAAACCCCATATAAGCAATCAACAGCCCAATCATAAACATACCATCTAATCCACGGATTGCGTCCTCAGCGTCTCTAATATCATCAAAGTCAACAAAAGCGTAACCCGGTGGTCTCCGAGCAACCCACACGCTGCAAAATCAACAATCATCCTCCATAAAAATAACAAAACTTTAAGCATTTGCGAGTAAAGTAGACGAAAAGGTCAAAAATTTAACAGCAAAGTACCTTCTAATATTTCCAAAAACACGAAACTCGTCTTCGAGATCTGCCTCGGAAACTCGAGGACTCAAGTTTCCCACGTACACACGAGACATTCTTCGATACAAGCTGTGAAATCACAAGCTAAAAAGCATTAGCAAAGAACAAATTCTGCAATTTTAATCAGAAATTAACAGCGATTGATACCAAAATTTAGAGATTTGGGGGATTAAGAATCGAACTGAATAGAAGGGATGAAAGGGGAAAGAGTGAGAGAGAAAGAGAGAGATCTGAACCTTGAGCGGTGCCGAGTAGACGGAGAGAAACCCTAGCAGCAGCTCCTTTACTCGGTTCGACTTTTTGGGGATGGGTCACTGAGGTTTTGGAATTTATATAAGAGGCTAATTGATTAACGACCCCTATAAAGTTTAAAATCTTGAATTGGCCCCTCCAAATTTGTTTTTGCTACATAGGCCCTCAGAAAAATTTGTAGATGCAGTCTCACTCAGCTAAGCGAGTGGGACTGCACCTCTTTCGTGTAATACATTTCTCTTTCCCATTAAGGAGCAAAATCTTCTATCTTCCTAACGTAACATTATTTCACCGAACAAACGTCATAACTAGAATAGCTCTTCTTTTTTTATTATCAAATAAATATCACCTCTAGAAAATTCATTCAATTTGAAGACTATTTAGTCATTCATCTAAATAAAAAGAATTAATGTTTTATCACAAGGATGCTACTTGTTATCATAACTATCAATTTGGTTGACATGTATAGATTGGTAATAACTGATCTTTAAATCGAATTAGTTTTTTTATAAACTTCTTTAAAAGATGATAAAATGAACAGTTTGAAATTCGATAAATGAAATAATTTCACGTCAGAGAAAGAGAACTTTCCTTTTTAATTAGTAGGAATGATGAAAGTATTATCTAAAAATTATACAGAGTGCAGTACCCAAAAGCGCCTTTGCCAATGTCCACCTCTCACGGATCAACTACGATGGTGCTTTCGATGCGTGTTTGGGGATTAGGGGTGTTCGAGTGGTGGTAAGGGAACCGGAAGGGGAGTTCTCTGGCAGGCTTGTTGGTTTCGACAGATGTCCTCACTCGATCATGTTTAGACACCAGCATGTTCGGAAGGTTTGTGCTTAAAGGAGGACACTACAGATGGATTGTTACCAGTCAAGGCCCTTAAAGAAGGAGACTGCAGATGGATTGTTACTTGTCGAGGCCCATAAAGGATGACACTCCATTGTTGAGACACCGCTTTTTTTTATTATTATTAAAAATGAACTAGCTGGTAGCTTCGTCACGGCAATTCACTTTTTCAAGGTCAGGAAAGACTCACATAGGTATTTCAGTCTCTCTCTGGCCACCATTGTGCGATTCACCATTTCCAGGAGTTAAACCCAGGACGTGTCGTGTGAAATACGAGTTTGGAATTCATCTCCAACCATTGGATCCCGTGGTGGTTATTGTTGAGACACTCCTTTACTTTCTCCCATCCCTTGCAGAATGTACAAGTACAAAAGTTAAGATGGATAGCTTTAGTTAATTGCAAGTGGTGGATTGTTTGAGCTGATGGTTGAGTTTTTTTTAATTCATTGTGTCTCGAAATTAGACTCTCCCTCTCATCTTTAACGTTGATTAATGTAAATATTATTTATACTAAAAATTTCTTCATCGGCAATTCAAATTTCCAATCGAATAACATAAGAGAATCGAGAATCATTTTAGTATGTTGCACACATGTGTACACTTCCATATCCTCCAATGAGGTTTTTTATTTCTCGGAATTGAGATTTGGATAAGACGAACTAATCTAATCTATTGAGCATAACATGCACATAGTTGGTCAATAAGATTTTGTAGGGCTTGATTGGACGAACCACCTTCTTGAACCACACGCCAAGCTACTCTTCCCAAAGCTTGTGCTCTCTCCCTTGCATCCCTTCCCTTCTGTCCTTCCATCAATTCTCTCACTCCTTCACAAACTGCCTGCCTCGAAACCTCAATTCCTGACCCCAAATCATGGCTCTTTCTAATGCCAAGTCCAGCCCCAAGTCCTTCGGCAATAAGCTTGGCATTCAAAGACTGCTCAGCTATCATAGGCCAAGCCAAGATTGGCACTCCGGCTGATATACTTTCAAGCACTGAGTTCCAACCACAGTGACTAAAAAACCCTCCGACTGCTCGGTGTGATAGTATTTGGCGCTGGTCAACCCATTCCCTTACTATCAATCCCTTACCTTCAAAGTTAAGTTTTAAAATATTAACATAACATTAATGTAAGAAATTGTTATTGACACTCCAAAAATCTTATTTTGCACTCTAAACTTTCTATAATTAGAAAGAAAAATACACTTGTAAGAAGTGTAGAATGAGATTTTTGGAGTGCTAATAACAATTCCCTTAATGTATTGGATTCAAAATTATTGACAAAAGTCACAAACATATCAGAATTTGGACATGTAGATTGAATAATCAAAAAAAAAAAAAAATCAAGTGATATAAATAAAAATAAAAAGGTGTGCGGAAATCATTTCTTTTAAATAAACTTTAAAACTATATCTAAAAAATATTCTATCTAATACCGTTACTCTTTAAAAATACATGATTCGATATAATAAGGAGAATACTGAAATTTCATATCATAACAAGGTTTACCTTTCATCCTCTCTTCAAGTCCATTTGTTGGAGACCACGTGGTTGATCGAACCACCAATAAAAATGGAACCCCAGCCTCCTCCAAGCCCAAGCCGACTTCATCAAGTTGAGCATCTGACAAGTCTGCTTGCGTGCCGAACGAGACATATAGCACAGAGCCTAGAGTCACTTGGTCATTGAGCCATTGCATTAACTTGCTGGGTTGGTTGTGGCTGATGTGTTTCTCAACACCTTCAACTTTGTCATACAACAGCAAAGGTCCCAAACACCAAGCTCTAGCTCCATTTTCATAGAAAGCTTCAAATGAAGAAACAGTTCCGCTCTCTATCTCCTCAAAGCTGTTCACAATAACCCCCCAACTATTGATGTCAGCTTCTCCCACAGCGTCTATGAATTGAGAAAAAGGGTCCTTCTCATCAGTTGCTTGAATGAGTTGAGCAGGTAATTCCGAGACACTTAGATCAAAGGGAAGCTTGAGACCTGGCAACTCTATGGGGTCGAAAACCGACTTCCCCTTCGTGTGTGGCATGTGCACGCACACAGCTTTGGATATAGCCATTGATAAGACCCCCATGCCATGAAAAACCAACCTAGGGACCCCAAAGGATCTGCATGAAGAGAGAGTCCAACCCAAAAAGAAGTCAGAGATGACACAAATGGGAAGGGATTTGGATTCCCTCATTCCTTGTAGGACTTGTTCGAAAGGGGTTTGGAGTTTTTTGGTGGCCATGAGGAAAGGGACATAGAAAGCCATGGATGGAAGTTGGGAGGTGTTTTCACAACCTTGAGGAAGGCCATCGATGGTGGGAAATGGGATTTCAATCAAGTCTATATCTTGGTAGTTTGCTAGGTGTTGGGCAACTGATTTTGCATTTGATGGAGTTGTGATGATGGACACCTTGATTTTCCGGTGGGAGAGAGCTTTCGAGAGGTCCAGTAATGGAAGAGTGTGGCCGTAAGCCATGAAAGGGAAGATTACTACATAGGGAGTTGATGGTGCTGATGCCATGGTTTGATCTCTAGTTAATTTTCTCTTACCAGAGGTTCTTGTATATGTAGCGTAGATACATTTATAGATCTAGTAACTGTCGTAAGGTGTGTTATGCATATCGTATAGGGATGGCAACGGTTTGGTTTGGGGACAGAAATATTATATCCATCCTTATAACCACGAAAATTAACCATACTCATAATCACAAAAGAACCATCGGGGATTATCCATAATCATATCCACCGGGTAATGGATTTTTAATCGGTTATCGGTTAGATCCATCTTTGTCAATAAAAATAAATTATATTCATTCAATTGACGCACTATAAATTTTAGTAGATACTAATCCTACCATTAAATAACCACATCCAATTACCAAAAATATAACAATATATATTTGAAGTTGTTCATGATAAGCCACTATGATAAATTGGTTCAATAAAAAAGAAAAAGAGGACAAAAACAAATTTCTTGACAGTAAGACTCTTGAAGAGAGATGCATCTGATAAACTTGAAATATTTGATAATTGATATATAAAATGATTCAATGATTTAATTTGGTTGAGTATAGCAATAAGAGTATTCAATTGATGAGGTTGTTGGTATGCCTCATGTATAATGTTTGGTGCATAATAAAGATAGTATAGGGTTTGATGCATGCATAATGAATTAGTACTATAGGGATAGGAATAATTGAATACGTTGTGGGCATGATTCCAAGACTTCGAAGGGCATAATTGAATAAAATAATATATATATATATATAATATTCGGATCGGATTCGGGTACGGATATGGATTGGGTACACCTATAACTATATCCAAAACTATAACCAAATAAAGTTCACGGTTTTTCCCCATATCCAAACCATACCCAAATTTTCATATCCAAATCCAATTCATTCGGACGGTTATCCACAGTTATCAGGTTTAACAGTTAGAATTGTCATCCTTAATATCATATCATTTATTCAATGCAGTTTATGGATTGCCCAAAAATATAATATTGCAGTTTATGGCTTGCCCAAGAGTACAATATTGTAGTTTATGGCTTTATATGCACATGTATAGCTAATGGTAGCACATGTATACTTACATGGAACTGCATCCTCGTGATATCAAAATATAATTGAAAGGAGATTTAGTTACCAAAACGTTTAGGTCAACATATACTAATAGGATAACCTACTTAAATAATACAATAAAAGTTGATAGGATGAATGACAGTAATTCATGAAAGGCACTTATAAGTAAAAGGTCTTAGATTCAATTTTCGCCAAAGACGAACTTGAACCACATTATTGCTAGTCTATTGTGAGTCTTAGCGCACTCTTCCATTCTTAAGTATATATATTGTTTGTTAAAAAAATCACATAATTGGATTGTTTAATTAGACCCTAAAAAGTGGAATTTGGGAGGCTGGTTTGCTTTTGTGGAAACAGTTTTGCTAAAAACGTCCTAGCCACAAGTGATTTTATTATAAAATGTCCCAAATTTGATTGAAAATAAGTACTTTTCATGAAATCACTTGAAAGTGCTTCAATGACTCAAATTTAATTTTTTTTTCTGTTAAACGTAATCATAAGCATTTTTAGTTCTTAATAAGCATTTTAGCCCTTTCATAAGCAATTAATCTAAATAATAAAAAAAAAAACCATTTAGCTTGGAATGTAAACGATGTAAGTGGTGGAGTTCCTTTGAGGTTAGGATCTTCTTCTTCAATCCATTACATCCATATTCAAACTTTGTTATTCATGTTTAATACATTTCAATCATTTGAAGGGAAAAAGAGAATTCGCGAGGCCAGCAGCGAAAGTTTTTTCAATTTTAATTACAGTACAATATTGTATGTGGTCCTAGAAGACCCCTTCTTATGTACCTAAGACCATCTCCAACCGAAAGGTCCAGAGGGTTAGAGTGTCGAAAATAGCTAGAAAACCGTCTTCAACTGAGAGCCAGGCCAAATGGCTCGTGGGCCCCACTTGCAAAAAAAAGGGCCAAAGGCCCAATCGGCCGGCCCAAATGAGCTAGCCAGTAGGCCCCGGGCTGGGCTCCATTTTGAATCCCCAACGGCTACCTAACGTTAATTACTATTGGTTTTTTTTTTTTTTTTTTGGGCCAATATGTTTTTAAAAAATTCTAAAAAATTCTCATTTTTTCCTATAAATACCTAAGCCATTTCTACACCATTCATCGCAAAATTTTCACCATTCCTACACCGTTTCAATTCTCATATTTTCTTACCTTTTCCAATAATCTTTCCTTCAATTTTTTCAATAATTTTCAAATGGCCTCATCTGCAATGAAGGGTATGGCTTGGACTCGAAACGAAGATGAAGCTCTTTGTAGGGCTTATAGATGGGTCTCAGAAGATAGTGTGAGGGGGAGTTCTCAAACAAGTGATGGTATTTGGACTTGTGTGTCCAAAAAATACTTAGAGTTCTACGAAGACACCACTCCACCGAATACCCAAAACCACGAGAGTCGTTCTTCAAGATGGAAGAAACATCTTTAGCCAACTTTGAACAAATGGCATCAAGCATTGTTAGCAAACTGCAAGTAGATATGAAATTGGCGCCAATTACTACAACGAAGTAAGTGTTTTCACAATTTATTTTAAATATTTAATTATATTACATTTAATTTCATAAATTAATTTCCTTTATTTTTTGTAATTATATTTTCTAGGTACGCCAAGTGGAGGAATTGTATATGGAGGGCAGCTCGAAACCCTTTCAGCATCATAGGTGTTGGGAAATTTGTAAATGGTAGGTGTTATTTGAAGATCCACCTCAACATAAAGTAGGTCATACGATGGTGTTCGGAACTGCATCCTTAACTATAGATATGGATGAAGATGGATCTCCTACCATTCAACAAACCAGGGTAGAAAATCCATCTTCGAGCGAAGGTTCCATACCTAGGGCTATGGGACGAAACAAGGCCCAAGGGTTGAATGAAAAGGGTAAGGCAAATGATGATTACGCTGCTCAATAGGAAGTGACAGCCTCATTGCGATTAATGGCGAAGCAAAATGCCTTTGCCGCGGAAGAAATGAACCGTAGGCATGAAAAACAGGCCAAACAAATATATACAAGAAGAGATGGATGATAAGAATATGGAAATGAACACTTCGAATTACAATCCAATGAGTAAGACCTATTTTGATAGAAAAAAAAGAAATAAATTATGACTCGGTGGCAATTGTTTATCTCCGACTATACTCCTACAATGGTGGATGATGAAGATCATGATGATTATAGATATTAAATTTAAGTTGTTGTAATTTTTTATTTTAAGTTGTTGTAGTTTTTAAATTTAAATAATAAATTATGTTTGGCCCCATGGCCTTTTGATCCTCGGTTGGAGACGATTTTTTATGACAAGGCTAAAACAAGTCCTATGACCATTTGACCCTCAGTTGAAGATAATCTAACTGTCTTAGAGTCATCAATGGGATGTGTCCTCGGGCAACATGATGGGTCAGGCAGGAAAGAAAGTCTATTACCTCAACAAAATGTGCATGAATGTTTCGTCCAGCCCCCAACCCCAGAGATCATGCATGCATGCATAGATGCATGGAAACCTCGTTAATGTTTACCCAAAAATATGTACAAAATCAAATAAAATGGTTGAATCACGAGCTGATAGTCCATTGGTAATAGACGAATTGTAAGGCTTCTTTTAAATTAAAAACTGGAGGTCTTAAGTTCAAAATCCGCTTCTGGTATGGAAGCCAGACTTGTGGTTAGGAAGAGGCTGAAATGAGCTTTCCCAACCCTCAAAAGGAATAGATAACCGTGACTTATCACCAGTTATCCTCCTTTAAAAAAAAAAGAAAATGGTTGATTTTGTGGCCAGATTTGCAAGTCAACGTAAATTAGTAAACGAATAATACAAGAATTAATGCCTTGGATGAATGAGAAATAAATGTTATTCTAAAATGCCTTCATGACCCCGTTACCATAAAAACTTTGGAGTACCACTCTGTTTCTCTTTTCTTTTTCTTTTTTAATCATGAATAACAATGTCAAATAAAGGGTCTCAATTACGTCTTATGTAAATATTCACATACGTTTCACTAATAATATTTAATTTATCTACTATTTTTTCATCATCTAATAATTTATATAAATATAGAGAAAATGTTCTCATGTCAGTTGATACAAAATGTTCTCTTGTCAATAGATATAATACGGGCACGTTTACTATGAATCATAAATCTAAGTCATGGATCAAGTTGATTTTTGTTAGAGTTTAGTGGGCTAGATATTTATGTTAGGGGAAATAAATTAGTGGAGATTGAACGTGCACCAATGTGCATAAGTAATATTATTTTATGCCCATGCGAAAAAGCGCTATTTGCAGAACGGTTATGAGTGAGGATTGTAAATCTACAATACATATTCAAACAAGAATGAACTAATGCAGGGAACAGCGTGGTATGAAAAAAAAAAAATGAATATATAGGATACATGGGTACGGTCCACCATTCCAACTGTAAAGAGAGAGGCTTGAAAATCCTAAAAAATTTGTTTTTAGCACCAGCTTACAACATAGACAACTAGAAAAACAAAGCAATAAACTCTTAAACAAAAGCAAGGCACATTAAACAAGTTTACAACTCAAATTTCAATATGATAATTCTAACAACTTCTGCTCCTTGCATCATGAACTTAGTTTTCTAAATTTACAGTCTAATTTTCACAATAATGTATCATTGAATAGTTTGAAAAATTAACAGTTCAATTTTGCTTGCAACAATTAGACTTAGACTTGCAACAGTTAAGTTGTGCATAAAACTCGAAACACTGAATAGTATGTAACATTATAGCCGAACCCCTAATATTATAAAACAACATTTTCATATATATATTAAGCAAACGATAATTCCTTCCAAGAACGCAAGGCCGCCCTATAATTCAACTAGTTGGTTGTCCCTGTCTACTTAATTGACTAATTAAACAAAGTCAACTATTGATTTATTATTGGACACGTTACTCTACCTAGTGCTGTTGTCCCCATGCTTTGTATTTTAGGGGGTAAAGTCCAAAACCCCACTTGCTGTCCACTGTCACCACATGATCTGCAGCATGCTTAATTGACCGTTTATATACAAAGAATATTCAAACAC